TTTATTTATATATATATATATATATATATAAGTATATATTCTTAAAAAAAATCCTCAAAATAATAAAATGTAGCACAGTTTCCAAAAAAAAACAGTTTTTAATAATAATGTTTCTTGAGCAGCAAATCAGCATATTATTTCTGAAGGATCATGTGACACTGAAGACTGGAGTACTGATGCTGAAAATTCAGATTTGCATTACAGAAATAAATTACATTTTAAAATATATTAAAATAGAAAATAGTTATTTTAATTTTGATCATATTTAACAATAGTACTGTTTTGTATTGACATTTTAAAAGAATGTATGCAGCGTTGGTGAGCATAAGAGACTTCACTAAAACAAACTAAACAAAACAAAATAAAATAAAGTACAAAAAATATTTTAACTTTAGGTTGATATAATTTCCTGTTTTTCCTTTCTTAGTATTTAATTTGTAATGGCTTTTTCTTCATTATGATAGACAATAATACCATTTAATTGGGTTTATTTGGTCTTGGAATTTGATGAGAAATGTTTGAGCTCATATTGAGACTTTGATATGTTGACAGTTGAAGACATTCTTGAAGTCTCCTCTGAAACTCTCTAAGTGACACTTGTGAGATTACTGAGAAGCAGTCTACTTTTGCTCTCCATTTAATCTCGTTGTCATTTTGAAACAATATTTCTTTCCTATGAGGTCATAACATCCACTCACATGTGCGTGTGGCCGGCCGTACGCACATCTCAGCACTGTTGGTACAGCTATTAGTTTGTTTAAGTCCGTGCAGATGATTAAATGACTTTCCATTGTGTCCGCCGATGCATATGGTCATGTGAAATGATTCGCTCCATTAAAAGTGGCAGCATAGTAATGGGGTAATGAATGGCCCTGTTGGCTAGAGACTCCCAGCATCCTAATTTGTCTTCCCTCCTGTTGTTGTCTCCACAGCCTGCCGGCCCGGCTTCTATAAGGCCTCTTCTGGGAACGTCAAGTGCTCCAAGTGTCCACCGCACAGCTACACGCACCAGGAGGAAGCCGTGCACTGCGACTGCGAGAGAAACTACTTCCGTGCGGAAGAGGACCCCGTCTCGATGGCCTGCTCTCGTACGTGCTGCAAACCTACATAAGTACATTTTATCCAGATTCTATAGATTTGACGTTACCTTTAAGCCTCCTAATTGTCTCAATTTGACCCACACTTGATTTGTTTAACTGCTTGAAACATTAGTTGAAATATTGATTTCTTCTTGTAATTTTGTGACTTTTCCTCATTTCGGGTCATTGCAAAGTTTCGACACATAGATGTGTTTTGGAAAGGCTGAACGAATAGAATCAGGACAAATAAACTTTATTTGTAGCTTGTTAAAGGCTAAAATATAAAATACATGATATTGTTGGCGTTACATGATACTAAAATATGAAACATATGAGATTGAGAACTTGTCTTCTGAATCATCCAAAGACAATTTTAAATTTTTCAGTTATTTAATCTATTTAATATTCTTATTTTATTTCCGCTGATTGCCAACACGTCATTTCTCAATTTCGTTTTGTTTAACATGATGTACTAAATAACTAAAAAATAAATAATAATAATAATAATAATAATAATAAAAACTACAAAGACAATTACAAAAAAGAAAAGAAAAAAACATAAAAACAAATTCAAAATATTAAACAAAAATATTACAGTACCTCAATTATACTAAATAATTGTTTATGGGTTTTCTTTTGTTACATGAATCTTTTTTTTTTTTCTTGATTTTTGGCAAACTGCATGGAAACCAATTTGGGTCAGATTGACCCACAACACAAAGGTGTACACAGATGTTCAACACAACAGTGCAGGACAGCAGAATCTCCACAAGCATTTAGAAGTGATGTTGTTGTACGGATAACTATTTATGTTACTTGAAACGCGGCGTTCCTGTACGCCGCGCAGCCCTCAAAAGCGCCAGAGCTTTTTGAAGGATGGTGTTTGTTCAAGGATTGATGAATTTGTGTTGGCTCGTTCTGACAAAGCTTCCAATACCCCCTCAGCGGCCTTCGAACTATCCCACCGAGAATAGCCCATGTTTGCTTATTTTTAACCGTTTCAACCGACAGGCCTCCTCGGGTTTGCATTCTCTTTTATGGAGAAGTACGCAGATGGTAGACAGATGCATGCAGCGATTGCCAAGCATTCCAAAACACATTATCCATAAATCACCACATTGCTATCAGTGCTGATTCATATCACATAAAACCACCAAGAGCCTTATTGAATTCCACGGCCAAGTTTAATAGGGTGTATCTTACGTGACATCCTGAGTAGTAGGTAGCACGTCAGATCACGCCACGCACGCTCATGCGAGTCGCTTTTTATTTTGGCTGTCGGATGCAATACTGAGTCTTCATTTCCACTTAAGCATTCATTGCCAATGTTAGTTTAAGACTTTGATGGTTACAGTGAGCGGAAAAATGCTTGAACAGAGTGTACGACTTTCATTTCTCCACTTCATACTGTCATAGCCCTCGAGTTTAAACATTTATCTTGATAGAATCTGCTCGGATGCAGGCAGTGGAACAGATACGCTTTAAGTGCAGCTCTGAGAGCGGAACTGCAATTAAAGGAAGACGACGCACGATATTATCAGCAATAATTGTGGAGGTTATTCGGAGTTCTTCAGAGATGTTTTTTTGCATGTGAATTTAATTCAGGTCATGGCTGCATTATACAGGCGGTTGTTCCGTGAATTATTGCTTTGTAAAATTTACAGTTTATGTTGCATTCAATGTCGTGTCAGTGAAGGTCGGCATTTAATCACCGGTGAATGTTTTAAAGGCATACATATTTATGCCTGTTTTTAGTACGTATAAATTGACTTGTTTATTTCTCTCTGTCTCTTTTTTTATGACCTCATAAAGGCGATATTCTGCAGTGTAAATCCTTGACGTGAGGAAAATGTCAACGGCGGGCATGTTATATAATTGTGCCACTTATCAATACCCGATGTAAACATCTCCCATATGTCAAAGAGAGAATTTCTTGTTTTGGTGGTGATTGGTCAGGTCTGTGGTAATAATGAAGGCTGTAGTCACACTTTTGGAGGCTACTTGTCAGACTGAAGTGTCCGTGTAATGGATGGCTTACCCTGGCACACCTCACATCCTCCCGCTAACAGGCCAGCCAGTCTGTTTATATTACCTGCTCACTGTGATGTCTATTATACGTCAGGATCAAAGGATGCCTTGCTCTGGCAAAGATGTTACCTAGTGACATATAACGACTTTTTCCTCCATGCTATAAAAAAGGACTTTGGTTTATGCTGTTGCCACTGCAGACTGAGGCACATTAATGCATTTTTTTTTTATCTGTGCTGACACAGACAACCTCCTTTTTATGATACTCATTTTTTATATAAAGGAAAGATCAAGGATGTGTTGTAAAATAGTAGGAAAGATTGTTCAGCGAAATATAAAAGATTCTCACCCTCATGTAATTTCAAGCTTGTATTTTATTTCAACCATGAAATACAAAATGAGATGTTAATCAAAAAATTCCACTTCAGTTTGTTTAGCAATTTTTTGTATTATTTTAGCTTAGTTTTAATTTTAGTTTAAGTTTTGGTAATATAGCTGCAGGTACTGTCACGGTGCGTGCGGGGAGATGAAGCGAGGACTCAATCGCTGGAGAAATGGTATTTTATTTTGGTAAAAAATGAAACAAAAACAAACTCAAACCACCCCGAGGGGGAAAAACAGACAGGCAGAGCTAAAGCTGCACACATGCAGACACGAAACACACACAATGAGAAATGACGGATCAGCACAGGACGGCAGACACAAGGAGAATAAATAGGAACCAAATGAGGAGGCTAACGAGGGAGACACAGGTGGAGCAACTAAAACAATAACGAGGTAACAAGATGGGAGGGGCCAGACAATAGACAGGAGAGAGCACATGGCAACAGACAAACACAACACAAGCCATGTGCTCCCAGAACACAGTCATCTGGTGGCCCTCCTGGGCACACCGGCTGAAGACTGTGACAGGTACAAGATTTATTATTATTATTCTTATTATTCTTATTATTATTATTTATGACTGCGTTCATGTGACCCTGGACCACAAAACCAGTCATAAGTAGCACTGATATATTTGTAGCAATAGCCAAAAATATATTGAATGGGTCAAAATTATCGATTTTTCTTTTATGCCAAAAATCATTAGGGTATAAGATATTTTGTAAATTTCCTACCATAAATATATAAAAACTTCATTTTTGATTAGTAATATGCATTGCTAAGACCTTCATTTGGACAACTTTAAAGACAATTTTCTCAATATTTAGATTTTTTTGCACCGTCAGATTCCAGATTTTCAAATAATTGTATCTCAGTCAAATATTGTCCTATCCTAACAAACCATACATCAATGGAAAGCTTATTTATTCTAGCTTTCAGATGATGTATAAATCTCACACTTGAGACTGGTTTTGTGGTCCAGGGTCACATATATGTGTGTGCGTGCGTGTGTGTGTGCGTGCGTGTGTGCACGCGCGTTTTTGTGACATATGAGGACACAAATTTGTATAATGACATGGGTATGACATAGATATTACAAGGAGAAGGTGACTTAGGGGGACATTACCCCATGTCCCCATTTTTAAAAATGCTTATAAATCATACAGAGTGAGTTTTTTTGAGAAAGTAAAAATGTCCTAGCTTTGTATAAAAAACAGTCGCATGCTATATTCTATGCCTTCTGAAGTGAGCACCAGACTGATGTTCAAGACCTTCAGTGAAAATCTTTCAGTCTACCCCTCCGCAAGAGCTGGTGAATGTGATTATAAAATTACATTTTGAGTGAATTATTCCTCAAGGAATGTTGCTCTTCTTTCTATAAGTGCTTTTGAAAAGGCCATTGTGTGGAATCCTGTATTTGACCTTGAAGCTAAACGTCTGATTTATTGTCATGTCAGAATCAAGGGAAAGCAACAGGGAGTGTTCTGGAATGTTCCGGAGCGAATTTGTGGAGGAGATTCCTTTGTGTAATGTTCTATTTCTTAATGTAGTATCAAATCTCTCCCCCACTTTCCTTCTCAGACTAAATGTCTGTCAAAATGGTTCTCAGGTTCAAGAGGCAGGAAACCCTCTCTAAACTCTGGGCCTTCAGTGTGTGAATTCACGTCAGATCAAACGAACCCAACATTGCACTCCTGATTTCTTCACTCACCACCATCGTTAAGGCAGGAATTTCGTTTTTATGTAATAATACCCAGAGGTCAGATATTAAATTCACAAAGTATTCCAAAATTATTTACAGTCTGGCTTTGAACTGGTGTCCATCTCTTTACTTTAATCTGAGATTTCACTCTTGTTCATATATACGCAGAAGTCTGTCACTTATTCAAATAACAGCTTGCTGTGCAGGCCTGCTATTCCAATCAATAGAGGCCGCTGGCCACACTTCATACTCCGTTTTTTATCGGGACAGTCTTTTAAAGTTAATATAACAATCCAGTGAGGACACTTCTGAACTCTGGAGTAATTCTAGAGGCTTTGCCAGCATTTTAACAAGGGGAAGGACATGCCTGCCTAAATTCCGTATCCATCTATAACTGATGACTTTAACGATTAAACCCACACTTTTTAAAGTAAACGTACATCCCCAGAGGGACATTTTATTGCTTTTTCATAGCTCATGAGATTTAATGGAGTTCTCAGTTGTGTTTCATTTAAGTATAAACTTTGTCCCAGATGTTTCTCCTGTCATCCCTTAGGAAAAATCGGGAAAAAAGACACAAATGTGTGTGAATTTGGAGAATTAATACATGTAAATTAATAAACCAATAAATAAAAATAATTTGATTTTGGCAGAATTTAATGAGTTCATATTGAGACCATTGAATTTTGATTTGAGAAGCAAATCAAATCCAAAGGTATTTGTTTCCTCTCCATTTAATCTCATTGATGTCTGCATGCTGTCTCTTAGAAAAAAGGTTCCAAAATGAGTTTTCGCAGAAGAACCATCTTGGATTCCCCAAAGAACCTTTCAGTGAACAGTTCTTAACTATTTTTCATCATGTGAACAATATTTTAATAATCTAAAGAACTGAGGTCCACTATAAAGAACCTTTTGTGGTTTTGTGGATGTTAAAGTTTTTTCATGGAACTATCAGTTCCAATAAAGAACTTTTATTTTAAAGAGTGTAGAAGAAACGTTTGAGATGGGTTTCCTGGGTCAATATTGGTTCACAGTGTCAGTGTTGAATATGCATTTTAATACCGCTCAAATGGATTTTCTTCGCGTTGTACTATATTTTTATATATTATATATATTTTAAAATTATGAGTAAATATTATATCACGTATCTTCTTTCCTCAGGACCTCCATCTGCCCCACGCAATGTGATATCTGCCATTAATGAGACGTCAGTGATTCTAGACTGGAACTGGCCGGCTGACAGCGGAGGCAGGAAGGACGTGATATTTAACGTGGTCTGTAAGCGATGTTGGCCGGGTCCCAGGCAGTGTGAACCCTGCCTAGGGGCCGTGCGCTTCCTGCCCCGTGCCACTGGCCTCACTAACACGACAGTAACCGTAGTGGACCTCCTGGCACACACAAACTACACCTTTGAGATTGAGGCCCAAAACAGAGTGTCCTCCCAAGCCCCCACGATCCGCCAGTATGCTGCGGTCACCATCACTACCAACCAAGCAGGTGAGTCTCTCATCCCAGAATGTCCTACTATTAAAGGAATAGTTCACCACCCCTTCCAAAAATGAAGGGAAAAAAATTTATAATTTCCCCACACTCATGTTAATCTGAAACCCCTAGGTTCTCTCAGCCATGAAACAGAAAAAGGTGAATTTTTGAAGAATATCCTGACTCTTTTCCATAAAACAAACTTGGACTGGAACTGTCCAGCTCCAAAAATTCACGAAAATCATCCTACATGCATTATAAATGAGGGCCATATGATTCAAGTGCTATACTCCAAGTCTTCTGAAAAAATCAGAACCAATGGTGTTTCATGTCAAATGGCTTCAAAGTGTGATTTCCTCAATATTTTTGTCATCATATATCGCTAAAATCTAGCGTAGCATTAGTCCTGGTAGGTCACGTTAGACAAGCTCGCATCAGCTGACTCTCAGCTGATCCCCATAAACCTATGGGAATACGACACCTATCTAAGCATTCATATATAAGGTCCCTCAGTATTATCAGCAGTTTTCGCATTGCTCAATAGCTAATTACCCTCCTCCATCCCCAACTCCTCCTCTGTCAGTCAGGATTCAGCCTTCTGATTCTCCTTTGAATCAGACCAATTTTAAAATGGGTACATAACATTATTGAACTTTAACGATATCTGCAATACACTCATGTTGGTTCTGTTCTGTTTACCCTGGGGGGGTTATCGCTGCTCTTGCCCAGAACAGAACCATACCGCCAATCCAAACTGTATACTAATTGTCAATCATCTTTGACGATAGTGGTCCTGACAGAACTAGGCTAATAGGAAAAATGTTCCTTTACCCACATTTTTGCAAAACTCAAAAAAATAATAATAATTTACTCCAAAAAAATAGCAGTAAAACGTCAACAAGTTCTTACACAAATTATGATTGCATCACATAACCTGCTCCATATGTGTGGCTTTTCAAATGTAGCAAACTTGCTCGGTAGCACACCTGGTACAGGATTGCACTTGCGATACGGAGTGCTCAGGTATGAGTCACGTGAAACAGGAGCCATGAAATAAACTGTTCAAAGACTTGTAGAAGCGAGCTAAAATGGCACGGTTGCTTCAGCAAATGCATTGTGTATGTTACGTTTAGCGGCACTCACCGGACATTTAATTTCCATTTAGCATTTACTGTAACTGCTGCAATACATACAAACAATGTATTAAAATGTTGCCAGATTCATGTCCATCTGTTTCACATGAACACACTTTCAAAGTGATGAACAATGAACAGAAAGCAGCATAATATCATTTTACATAAATGTTGCCACGGGATCATTTTTCCAATGAGTCTGGCTTGTATATAACACATACTAGAATATAGCATTCATATCTTTCACATGCTTGATTGTTTTATTGTGCTCTTTTTATAATTTTGTGATTTGACAGCCCTGATCAGCCAGGATTTGCCTCAAAATTCACCTTTTGTGTTCCATGAAAGAAAAAACATCATAGAGGCTCAGAATAATGTGTGAACTATCCATTTAATTCCACAGGGTCTTCTAATGGGACATTAACACAATATTCCCAAAAATTACACTTCATTCAAAGCCGCATGTATTAAAAGAAAAATGTCTTTAAAGATTTCCATTGATTGAGCGAAATGTTTTAATGGTCCCCTGAGATCAGTTGAGACGTATTCACAAAGACAATTCAATTTCCTCTCAGCGATGTGCAACAAAGCTCAACATTCCATTTGGAAGGAAGAAAAGAACCGTTTAATGCCTCCGCAAGCCTATTGCTCATCCCGCACTATCACAGCCGCCTGTGAACATATCATTCTGCAGGTGCTGGCCTCTAGTATGGCTGACTGAAGGTCACGACTCCTCAGGTTACTAAAGCAGAGGGATGCTGAACGGCAGGTCATCTGCCTCTCATTCCATGTGGGCTTCCTTTGTGAAGACTTGTGTCTCTGTTCTCTAGCCCTGTGGGGCTCAGGCCTCCTCTGTCGGTTCAGTGCCGGCTGTGGAGTGATAGGTACAGGTCCTGTCGGATGATTTAGAGTATAGGCTTTGGTCCACAGATTACAGGCTTTGGGTTCTGGTGTCATGAAATAGTAGGCAAAGACTACTTGGACTACTAGAAGTTCAAAGGCTAGGGATTGATAGTTTTGCACCCTTTTACCACAGGGAGCAGTTGACTTTGCCTGAGACCTCATAAAATCCTTACTGTCATTGTCAGAGGACTGCATTTTCACTCAGCAGATCGTTCATCTTCTGTTGTAGAACAAATGCTGATTTATCTGTGAAGAAAGGCATCTTCTTTCAGAGTGATACAGTGCTACAGGCACTGTTTTCAATATTTTTATAAAATACTAGTCTAGACATTCATTAAATTAAGTGTTAAAAATTAAAGAAAATGAGAAATAACTAACTGAATAAAAAAAATAATAATGATGATTTTATTCAGCAATAGCACTTAAATTGATCAAAAGAGACCGTAAAGACATTTAAAAAGTTAGAAAAGATTTCCGTTTCAAATCAATTCTGTAAAATAATACTGAAAAAGTTTATACAGTTTCCAAAAAAATATAAAGCAGCACAACTATTTGCAACATTGATAATAATAATAATAATAAGAAGAAGAAGAAGAAGAAGAAGAAGTTTGTTGAGCATCAAATCAGCAAATTAGATTGATTTCTGAAGGATCATGTTACTGAAGACTGGAGTAATGATGCTGAAAATACAGCTTTGCATCACAGGAATAAATTATTATTATTTTCAGAATCACCTGAATAAAATGGCAACATCAACTTTTTAATATCCACACAGTTTAATATTTTCCAATATATTAAGGCATATAGATGGGGTTATAAAAATATATTGCAAAATGTATCGCATTGTTGGAATGACCCTGGCCATAAGCACCAGAGTTTGTTGTGGGTTTAAGGTTTTTTTAGTGTTGCTAGGTCACAGCTCTGCTCTATTAAAGGTGTTTTTGTCGCACAAGGATACCTTGAGGTGACAGATTTGTGGCCCCTCAGAATGATGGGTAGTAAATGTGGATTTAAGTCCTTCATTGATGTCTCGGAGGAACATTTTAACAAACCTTAAATACATTCTGTTTTATGTTTTTATTTCAGAATATTAAGGTAATTTGTTTTTAGTTATTGTCTGTTGATTTCTATGGCCTTATTACCTTATTACCTTATTACTAACAATGTATTAATCTCTTTAGACATAGACACTCCCACTCTCAATTCTTACTTGCTTTCAAAGCACACAGTACAAAGAAGCATACTTTGGCTTAAGTGCTGCAGTTTATTGCACTGCAATGGTATTCATTTCCTCACGCAGAGACAGCACCACACCCTCATTTTCTGTCTTTTCGATTGATTTTTTCCAGTTCAGGCTGTTTCAGAAACCAAAACCAGGAAGATCGTGACCCCCTCTCTCTGTTCTTCTCTACTCTTGCTCTTAGACAAATAATCCAGGTTCCTTTACTGTCCTATAAAACACAGCCAGAATAAGGAGATGGATGTGTGAACGGCCAATCTAGTGAGTCGGGCCTGCAGAGAGCACATTTACGAGGGGCTCAGAGGGTTGTCAGCACAGCCCAATCCATCTAAACAGAGCCAGCATGTGCTCCGCAGCCCAAGGGAGACAGCACACGCAAGCTGCCCTCCATGTAAGAACGGTGCTCTTTGCTTGGCTCTCAACATCATCAGAGCTGTAAAACATTTGTGTTGAGACCTGATGGTTCTGCCATTTTAATGGGCTGATTCACCCGACCTGGCAATCGTGCCGGGGCAGGGCAGGGCAGGGCAGGGCAGGGCAGGGATTTTCAGTAATGCCAACAAAGCCTCATACTACTGTGCTGGGGTGTGCAAAATGAACTTTTTGGCACACCTGGCAATGACGAGTGAATTGAAAAAAAAAAGAAAAAAAAAAAAGTACGAAGTCAGGGGAAACTGTATTTTGCACTTTATTATTTTCTAGTGAATTATTCTTTTATTTTTTTGGTTGGTTAATTATATATATATATATATATATATATATATATATATATATATATATATATATATATATATATATTAATATATATATCATTTAAAAGTGACAGTTAAGACATTTAGAATCTAACAAAGATTTCAATTTTAAATAAATGCAGTTTATTTGAACCTTCTATACATCAAAGAACCCTAAAAAATAAATAAATAAATAAAGCATCACAGGTTCCACAAAAATATTAGGCAACTGTTTTCAACATTCATAATAATACTTTTTAGTTAGTTAGTTTTTGAGCAGCATTTCAGCATATTAGAAGGATTTCTGAAGGATCATGTGACACTGAAGACTGGAATAATGATGTTGAAAATTCAGCTTTGATCA